CATGCCGACTGTCATGTCTTAGGCTTTGGCGGAGTTTGAGGAGGAGGCGTTGGAAGAGGGGTATGATGAGGACGACGAGGAGCCTGAAGACGACGAGGACGGCGACGGGGGGGAGATGGAGCCGGCCGTGGACGAGTCGTTGAATTCCGCAGCCGGCATTGATAGGCTGGGCTCCGTCATCTTGTCTGTGGCGCTGCCGCTGGCGGCGCAGGGCTCCCTGCATCGGCAGATGTACGTGTCACAGCAGCAGCGGCCGCCGCTGACGATGACGCCCACGCAGCCCCAGCAGCCCCAGCAGCAGGCACCAGCGGCGGGCTGCAGTCCTCCAAACCACATTGGCCATGTCCCATACGAGGTGAGCTAAAGCACTGCGCGACGGTTACCTTCTCTCGTTGCCTCACTAGCTGTCGTACCGTACCCGTCGCATACCGTTGCAGCGATATTGACAGAGTGTATAGACTGTAACCATTTGACGGCTAATGATGATTTCATGGCCCGTTGTTCTTGTCCCGCGCCCATTCTTCTTTATCCCACAGCCACAGTACTCGAACGAGCCGTCTCTAAGTTCCATTCCGTCTCCGACCAAAGACGGCCTGGTCCGCCCCACCTCCGAGACCTCCTACCCTTCGTCTACCAGTGGTGAGGGCAGTGGGTGCTTGGAGAACGCTGCGGGGCCGGCTTCTGGGCCCGTACCAGCTTTCCCCGCCGTGCAGGAAGCAAACGGCAGCCTGGCCGCTGCTGCCGCCTCCGCTGGTGTTGGCGGGGGCGGGGGCAAGGGTGGGGCCCGGGGCGGGGGGGGGGCCGGGGCCCCGATCTGGCGGCGGCGAAACGCGTTTGTGGAGTGGGCGAACACGATGCATCACGAAATGGTGGTTGAAGAGCAGCCGCCTGGCGGAAGCAGCGCGAGTGGTGGTGGTGGTGGCGGTGGCAGTGGCAACGGTAGCGGCAGTGGTGTCCCTGGCGGAGGTATGCCTGGACATGGCAACACGGTGGCAGGCGGGGCAGGCGGCACAGAGCAGCACGCGTCATCATCATCGGGCTACAATGTTCCCTTGGCGCTTGCGGCGGACACGCTGCCACCGGAGGGTGTGCAGTTCCAGTATGCGCCGGTAGGAGGCCTTGGAGGGTGCCCTTGGTGGGGAGCGCGGATTAGTTGCTGGTCGGTCTGTCGGTCTGTCGGTTGGCTGGTTGCTCGGGAGTCCATGACAGCTCGGTAGGATTGGAGGCAGTGGACGCGCTGCATCTTCCACCACCATGCATAGGTGTGTGGCGCCGTGTATGGTTTGCAAAGCCAGGTGACACTGGCACCCGCATGCTGCCTGGGCTCGCTGCGGGTTGGTCGGAGGCGTACCAGCGGGATGCGGCTGTGTGTTGAGTAACCACTGCTCGAATCCACTTCTATCCATCTACACACACGCATGCGAGGGAAAAGGATGCCACCCCGCCGCCTTCACGCGTCTCAATGGCTACCTGCTCGCCCCGTGATTGCTTACCGCCACATACCCCATCCACTTACCCCCTACCACCACATGCATGGCGAACTGCTGACGAACTGCTGAGCAGGGCGTCTACATCACGTTGAAGCCACCGGCACAAAAAGGCGGCCCGGTTCGGCTGGTCAAGGTTCGCTTCAATCGCAAGATGTTCACGGAGCAGTCTCAAGGCCAGGCCTGGTGGAACATGCACAGGGCGACATTGGCGGAGATGTACGAGCTGACCTTCAACATGGGGAACAAGGTACGTGCAGGCGACCAGTGGCTGCGTGTGTCTGTCTGTCTGTCTGTCTGTCTGTCTGTCTGTCTGTCTGACGACAGTGCTTCTGGCCGAGAGGTCGGGAGAGGCCAAGAGGCTGAAGTAGATGGCTGAAGGGAGGACTGGCCGGGACTTAGGATTTGCGGATTCAGTACTACATACCCGGAATGCATCTTTTTATGCCTTTTCCTTCCTGCCTTGACTATTACTTGATGAAAATAGGTGCGCATCACCATTTTTGATGAATATCCAGGCACCTGTAGCACCATCATCATCAC